TCAGATGCCATCACTAATGAGTTTTATGGATCGATTCTTCCTTAAAAGTATCACTCACCATTCCCTGGCTGTTGAGAGTTTATCGATTTTGCACATTTTTGTTCCATTGGTTTCATATTTTGTGGATTTATCTCTGGATAAATACACTTCCTCTAATGATGTTCAAATGTCTCCTTTGCTCTAATAAGTGATCTCTGTTCGTCTCATTTCCAAGCGATGCGATCGTGAGTGAATCCGCCGTCCTTTCGCCGACACGCTTGTATGGCGAAGTGCCCTTAAACCCTTTGAGATGCTTAAATTTCGAGGGAAAGTTTAGAGGTCTCCGTTTCGCTTCAAAATTTCGTAATTTTTCTAACCTGTAATAAGTGAGAACTTGATTCATTTTTTTAATATCAATTAGTTTATTGATGCGACTAGTCGTAAATGAAAATGTGAATAGCACTGTGAGATATGCTTTGAATCATTGCACGATCACGCGCTTGTGCATGCCTTGGCAGCCAGTCTGTGTGTTAGCGTGCATATGCTAAATTTAGCAAGCTGTGAAGGGAAGAGGATCCATGTTAATTATATGCCAATTATTCATCGTAAAAACTTCATTCTTTCTCATATCTCTAGAAGTAATGTTGCGGTTTATTCACGGTTGTTAACCGTCTGTTGACAGAACTAGATTGATGCTTCACTAGAAATTTTATCGTTATTTTGCAAAACCACTGATCCATAGCTGTTGTATTACTGTCTGCAAACGATCGTATTGAATTNTAGATATTTGTTCGAGTGATTCAACATATGCGCAATGGCAGAATCGTCAGGGTGGAACAATCGATCCGCCGCATCACAACGAAGCGGTTTTATGTCTTCTATGGCGCATGCTCGAGCCTACGATCATGGGGCAACATTACCGGTGCACTCGAGTAAGATTCGAATTCTTTCGGAATCTATTCGTATCGTTCATCATCGTAAGCGTCAACCAACGTTATCTTTTGAGAATTATGCTTTCTTCAGATTCGGAATACTCACATATGGGATTCTACAGTAGACGAATGCAAAACGGAGAAACGTTTAGCGGAGGGCATTCTCGATCAAGATCCATGCAGGCAGTGAACACTCCAGAGAGTGCTAATGGAGCAGGTAAAACGCAGCCAAATTTCATTCAGTTTTTCCACAAAAATTTTCAACTGCATACATCTCAAATCTATTTCATAACGAATGGTTTAGAGGAAATCAATTTTTACATCATTTTATGTTAGTTTCTTTGAAAGTTCTTAAATTTTACCAGATAAATTTATGGTCTGAGACGCTGGGATGTTGATCATTGACTGTGACCTGAAACTGTACAATTGCCATTGAATGCTTTGCTTTAGTGTTGATTTAGTCGTTTTGATTCTGAATTGTGTTCGATGCTCATATAGTTCAGTTTGCTGGAATTTCGATCACCGAATATGACTGAGAAATTCACTATCAAAACTGCATAATTCATGGACTGTTGATATTGAAATGCGAATACGTTCCAATGAACCTCAGGTTGTGAACTGATAAATGAGGAAGCATTGGTGATCGATATCCACCGTCAATACGGACGTATCTTATCACCGACTAACGTTCGACGACCAAATCTTCATATCTTTTTCTCGTTACAAACGTTGAATGGTACTGAACCGTTGAGTGCGATTACTGATGATCTCAGCGAACTGTTTGAAGTTGGTGATCAGGTAGATCT